CAACCTAGCAGTTCGAAAGCAAGAAATTGCAAGTAGATAAATAGGTACCACTTCGGTGGGAAGGTAACAGCATTTCGTGCGCCTTGGTGTTTAGTCATGCCGGCCACATGACCACGGAAACGTCTTTGGACAGCGCTGGCTCTTCGGCTTTGAAACGGAGATGAGCACCGGATTCGACTGGCTTTCGAGCAAGGGAACCTTTACCTTACCTCTAGAAAATTAAAAACTCACAACATACTTTGCAGAACAGTTGGTGCACCTTTCGTACAGTATTTTATTGAAAAAGAACATAGACCCACTGATTTCATTTTGGGGGGTTATATAAATCCTATCATCACAATGAAAAAGTCCTGTTAAAAAAGGAAATGGAGTGAATTTTAAGGTTGCAGACTTTGGCCCCTCATGGATTAAATTCTGATCTGGGACTTCTGACCTTGCTCAGCTAATCTCTGTACATAAACAACAACAACAACCACCACTGTGTCATTCTCCACTAGTCTAATAACTTAATTGCTGTGGACAGTTCCAGCACTAGGTGAATGTTCTGGTCAATATTTGCTTCATATATTATATATTTTATTGCCTTCTTTCATGTCCAATATATAGTTTATTCATCTTATATTGTATATTGATGAATACATATCAATTTTTGAACTAATTTTGATCTTGTCTCTTTAATTATTATTATTTTGTTTATTTGTAACAATTTTTAATCAGCGATCCTTCTATTATTTGTATTAAATGTAAAATTAGGTTTTTATAGATTCCCCCTGATGAAGCCTGCACAGCAAAACGCGTAGGGACTTTGTAAAATAAGCAATAGATCATCTATCACCTGGCATTTTCCCCTTTTGTTCTGTTGGCACATTGCTGGGTTTACCATATTTACCATATTTCTATACACAATCGGATAATAACAACATATTTGTACCAATTGCTGAATCATACAAGCTGTGTCACTCTTTGGAGATAAATGTATGCTCAGTCAGAAAACTGGCATGATAATGCCTCTTTTCAAATTACCATCATCTCCCCTGCCTGCTTAATTTTGGCCACTGTGTGACAAAGAGTATTGGACTGGATGGGCCATTGGCCGGATCCAGCATGGCTTCTCTGTCCGTTTTTGAAGATATGAATTGAGATTAGTAGAGCTATTCATAGCCAGTACGATAACGAGGTTTATACAGATACAAATAGGATTGTTACGTGAGAAAAAACACTTTGACACCGAATTTTGACAAAGATTCTGAAACGAACTTGCAAAAACTCGAGATGTTCGTCAATTTCATCTAAATGCACCTGTGGAATAAAGAAGAAAACTATTATAGTTTTTGTATAATTTTCCTTTGTTCTATGAATGTGTGAACTTCTTACAGCAATCACTTTTGGCTTTGTAGTTCGTCATCCTTACTTTGCTGTACCCTTGTATGACCTGTGCTTCTCTTATGTTCTTACCTGTTTTCAAAATAAAGATGGTGACCTCTCTGTGGGTGTCCCCACGTAATGCCGAAACTGTTGATAACTTAGCATCCTTTATCATGCATTTTGGGATGCCAAAAGTTACACCCTTTTAAAGCCCACTGAAGTCAATATGCTTAGGAGGGGATAAATCTGCTTAGGACTGCTCTGTTAATCTATGGCAACCAAAATGATAAAGTCTTAGGACATCTTAAAGTCTAACAAATTTCTTGGGGCATAAGCTTCCATGAGTAAGAGCAGATGTCAGATACAGAATGTGTAGGCAGAATGTCTGGGACAGGGATTTACTGCTTAGTTCTTTGGTTAATTTCTTACTAATATTTAGGGAAATAGGTAGGGAAAATAAGTTTACTGAGGAAAAGTAATGTGCAATTGAAACTGTTTCTCTTTATGGCATGGAAATGGACCAGCTGCCAATTCCATAACATAATTATTGATAAATACTCAGATGTGTAGGATTGGTACACATTTATTTAAAAACCAATATTATTCAGTTTAGTACAACATCGTGCAAAATAATTGTGCTTTGGACTGAAATTTTATGCTTTTGGGGGATAAACTCCATTGAGATCAGATGGATTTACTTCAGAGAAAAAAGGATTAGAGTCAGGAGCTGCAGCCATCCACTGTGAACAGGCAACCAGATCCATTAGAAAGGAAGGATGTCTGGCTATAACCCCAAGATTCCCTATACTTTTCTTTCCACCACTGAATTGGAAGGTTAGGCATCCATATTTCCTCCAATCTTTCATTATCCAAGAAGGGCCTTTTATCTGCAGCTCTGCTGCTTCTCCTAGACCATAGAGTGCAGGCGGGAGAAGGGGGAAGATGGAGGAATTAGGGAGAAGAATGGGCGGGAGAAGCCACTGCTACATGGGAGTCGTGTGGTTCCATAAAAACTAACACGTTTTTTTTTCTAGCATAAGCTTTTTTGTGGACTAGGACACACTTTGTCAACAGCACACAGGGAGATCTCTGAGTTTTATTTATTTATTTATTTACTTCACTTTATACTTCACCTGTGTTGCTGTGACTGAAGGTGGATTGCACAATTTAAAACAATGCCAAACAAACATAACATACAACCAAAAGTGAATAAATCTGGGTTACAAAGTCGGAGAACAATGCACAAAAAACAGAGCTGAACTGCAGAACTGGTGAACATGCAATAAACACTAATATGTTTTAGGAACAAGCTAATGAAATCTGACTCCATTTCACAGACATTAAGCCGTCTCCCTCCGTATTAAAAATGTCCTTCTGAACAGTTCTATCTTGCACATTCTGTAAAATAGTATGAGTGTGGGAGGATTCTTGACCTCAAACAGGTGGGAACCACTGCAGAGAATGTTCACATATGGGCCTATCTTACCCCTTCACAGGGTGCCACCTTCAAAAGGCTTTGCTTAGAAATAATCTTATTTCCTATCAGGGGTCATTTCCTGCAGGAGCGCACAGGAGCGTAGCTCTGGCAGTAAAGAGCCCGGGGGCGGGCACTTGCAACAAGCCCCACCCCCTGCTCCCAGTAGCCCTCAGTCAGAGCAAGAAGCAGCCAGGTAAGTTGCAGAGCTCCCCCTGGCCCCCTGGTCCAAAACAGTCCAGTGGCACCTTTAAGACCAAGTTTTATTCAGGTACAAGCTCTCCCTCCTCTGTGAGGACAGATCTGCACATTATCTCCCCCCTCCCCCCAATAGCTAGCAATCCAAAACAGTCCAGTGGAGCCTGAGCGGTGGGTGTTGCCTTCTGACACACTTCCGGTGATGTCAGGGGGTGTGGCATATGCAAATAAGTTATGCTAATGAATTATGCTAATAAGCCCCTGCACCTCTTTTTCTACAAAATGACCCCTGTTCCCTACTATAAGAATAACCTGCTAAATCTCAGTTGACAATAGGCTACTAGGCTCAATGGGACTTGTTTCTTTGTAAGCATGTTTAGGATTACAACTCTATCTGGAAAGTTTGCATGAAGTTAATGAGATTAAACTTCCAATTGAATGTGTTTAGGATAAAGAGGCCAGCCCTGAGCAAATGCAAATTCGGGTACATTTGTTTTAGGGTGACTTCATACCTATTACATTTACATTACATCTTTTTTTGCATTGTAGAAGTCAATGCAATGTACCAGGTTCCTTGAAGATTCTCCCATACAGGCAGTGAGCAGACCCAAACCTGCCTACCTGTGTGTACCCTGGGTGCAAGGCATCTAGCTGTCTAAACTATCATACTGTTATTTTGCCCTTCCTTGAAGGAGCATCAGAGCAATGTTTGTGGTTCTCTCCCTCTTCCATTAGTAGGGCAGAGTTCCGGTACCTTTAAATATTTGTATGGAAGAGGAAATTTTGACAAATGTGGTGCATGGGGGTGGGGGGGGGGGGGAAGATGGCCTCCCTCAAGTTTTTTCCCCCCTTCATGGTAATTACTGAAAGGAGCTGCCTTCCTCCCTCTGGCAACAAATGAATTGCCTTGCTTTACTCTGTAGTGGTCAGATCACCGGCTGACTGCCAAAGATCCTGTGCAAACGAAAGTTGCTTGCAATAAAGTATTTTGGCAAGAGCAAAACAGAAATATTAACTGAGCCACAGCTGAGCAAAAATAAAAAGAAGCCTTGTGGCACCTTTTATTTTATGTCACCATAAATGTATTTGGATTAGAGTCCAGTGGGTGCTTGTCCATGAAAGTTTATGCTGGAATAAAATTTTATTAGTCTTTAAGGTGCGGTGGCTCAAGTGGTTAAGACGCTGAACTGCAGGCTGTGGAAGGTCGGTAGTTCAGCAGTTCAAGACCCAGGTGCCGCAAGACAGGGTGAGCTCCTGTCTCTAGTTCCAGCTCCTGCCAACCTAGCAGTTCGAAAGCAAGAAATTGCAAGTAGATAAATAGGTACCACTTCGGTGGGAAGGTAACAGCGTTCCGTGCACCTCGGTGTTTAGTCATGCCGGCCACATGACCACGGAAACGTCTTCGGACAGCGCTGGCTCTTCGGCTTGGAAACGGAGATGAGCACCACAACCCTAGAGTCGGATTCGACTGGCTTTCGAGCAAGGGAACCTTTACCTTTACCTTTTTAAGGTGCCACAAGACTCCCATTAGATTTTTGCAGTGAAATTAAACATGACTATCCCTCTGGAGCAGTTGCATGGGGTAGGTAAAATGCTGTGTGTGCTGGCTGAACAGGACTGTGGATCAATTTGTAGATATAAAGGGGGTCCTTCTTGTTTCTGTGCTTTCTTTCTATATAAAGCAACATAGTATGCAGGTATTGATCTGTTGGTCCACTGGCACCATGTATCTCAATGCCATTATTGCTTGGCACCAAGGGCGTAGACTTTCCAATTTCTTGAGATTGGCTGGGGCTGGGCCAGAGGCATTGCTGGTATTGATCTGTTGGTCCACTGGCACCATGTATCTCAATGCCATTATTGCTTGGCACAAATGCTTTTAACTGACTAGAGCTTTGAGATTGCAAACTGTCTAGCAGAACAGTTTGGCTTTGATTAACTGACACCTTTTTTTTTTTTAAAGCAACCACACAACGTCCTGCAGAGACGCTTGATGGAGACAAACATGTCAAGGTTGCGGCACAGCCGAGGGTCATCCTCTCAGAAGAATGACCTTTCAGTGCAGGCGAATAAACTAAATCAAATGAAGCTGGACAGTCCCAAGGAAACAGAACAAGAAGACCTCATCCTGGTATGCTGCCAGGTATGTACGCGTTCTTGGCTTGCATCTGACACTGTAGTTGGCTTTCCATTATAATGTGAGCTCTGGTCACTCTTCCCTAAACGGTAGGAATTTCAGGGCAACCTTTCCAGAATTGTTTTGAAGAGGAGGAGGAAGAGAAGCATTGTGGCCCTTTAAACACTGCCTAGTTTATTATGGTGTGTGTATTCCTGTGTAACCATCTATATCAAGGGTCCTCAACCCTGTTGGGCCTTTCTTGACGAGAAAGGGTAATGGGGGTAACTATAAAATGGCTGCCATGGGGATGGGGCCAATCACAAAACAGTCAGTCGTTCCGATATCCTCCTGTGATGGAGGTGCTACTGGACTTGAATCTATCAACATTATGATGGAGGTGGGTATCAAATGAGCACGCCCAGTTGATGTAAAGGCAATGCTTCCTCGACTCTTCTGAATCACCAGCTGCATCAAGGAGAGAGAGGAAAGACTTGTGTTTTTGCTGCCTTCTGGGACTGTTATTAAGTCCCTGTCAGGCCACGGTTCATGGCTGATGGGTTGCATTTGGCCTGGTGGGTGCAAGCCAGGTACACACATATGGGGCCAACCAATAAGCCAGGGGTTGGTTTGTGCAGCTAAAGTTTCCTACGGGTGATGGGACCTGACTGCTGACTGAATGAGATGCATATTCAAATGGAGAATGTGAAGTGAGATTTGGCCTTCCGCAAACACTAGCACCACATCCTGGTATTAAAACTTGAGCATTACATTTTTAACGTGCTATGATTGTGGGACTCCCTTCTTGGTAGCTGTAGTTGTTCCCATGGATGCTTGGGTCAGTTCTCCTCAAGATGCACTCCCGCCGGCCTTGCAGGTCCACCGCCGGGGCCCTCATGGTGCTCGGCAGTGGAGCTGCAAGGCTGGCGGCGGCAGCCAGGACCGTTGGGGGCGGGGTGTGTGGCCTTATGACACACTTCCGGTGATGTCAGGGGTGTGGCATATGCTAATGAGTTATGCTAATGAGTTCCCCTAACTCTTTTTCTACGAAATGATCCCTGCTCGTAAGGTTCGAAGTAAAGTCAGTGGGAATGCCCAAATCACATCCTAGTTGCTGGAACACTGAAAGCAAATATACTATGTACCTGTTTGCTTGGTAAACTACCAAAAGCACTGGTGGTACCTTGAAAGACCTGCCTTCCAGTGACAGAAACAGGGTTCAAGACACTTCACGGAGAGGCTAGTGCTTTGTGTTCATGAATATGTGTTAGAATAAAGTGCTTGTTCACCTTCTACCGGTTTGTTTCAAGAGCTCGCTTTCCCTCTACAGTGTTCTGGGAAGGAGCTGCAAGTAGCAATTGATACGGGATGTCAGCGCAACATCATACCATCTGCCTGTTTGGAGCGACTAGGGTGAGTAGCACTATTTGAGGGCTGCCACCAACTGAAATGGGTCAAAAATGCTGATGTCTCCCAAGAATGCTTTTCTGTCTCAGAGGCAAGCTTAAATTCTTGTTCTTTTGAACTGTTCAGTGATTGCTTCCGAGAACAAGACCCTAGTTTTAGACTGGGATCTCAGATGAAAACTTACTACAAGAAAAGGGATGTGGAATAAATAATAAAGTTTTTGGTGGCTCAAGTGGTTAAGACGCTGAACTGCAGGCTGTGGAAGGTCGGTAGTTTAGCAGTTCGAGACCCGAGTTGCCACATGACGGAGTGAGCTCCCGTCTCTAGTTCCAGCTCCTGCTAACCTAGCAGTTCGAAAGCAAGAAATTGCAAGTAGATAAATAGGTACCACTTCGGTGGGAAGGTAACAGCGTTCCGTGTGCCTTGGTGTTTAGTCATGCTGGCCACATGACCACGGAAACGTCTTTGGACAGCGCTGGCTCTTCGGCTTTGAAACGGAGATGAGCACCGCAACCCTAGAGTCGGATTCGACTGGCTTTCGAGCAAGGGAACCTTTACCTTTACCTAGTCCTAGAAACTGATTCTCAGTATTTCATTTGAACCCAGTGCCTGGGTGGGATTTGCTAGTGCTGTGGCGTCTTTCCTGTCTGTTTCTTGGGCTCAGTCTGCTATACGAAAGGCCTGGAGACAGAGGATCGTTTCCTAGAGAGCTGAATGGATTGTGAGAGGAGCATCATTTTGATCGGATGCACCAATGCTCTCCACTGTCATCTCGCATCAAAGTTTTTCAGGTTTTGAAATCATTAAAAATAGTTTACCAGAGTACACTACAAACATAAATCACTCTCCTCCGCGGCCCTACCAGCCGCTGCGGCGGGACTGGCACTACCAGTGCCAAGCTCCCTGCAAGTCCCTGTGGGAATGGGTGGGCTCGGAACGGGGCAGGAGGACGTCAGGCACAAAATGCGAAGGGGGGGGGAGGGCCCGGTGGAAGGAGCGTGCCAGGTGGCAGGTTCCAGACTTACCCCAGAGACAGTCTGACGACACAGACGCTGGCGTTGGACACAAACAGGAAGTGGGCACTCCCTGCCATAACGCAGCCCTGGTTATACAGGGGGGGGCGGGTCTAAGGGCGGAAGTCTCCCGGGATAGGAGGGCACGGTGATGGACAGATGTCATAGCCAGTAGGATTCTTAATCACGAGGATGGGTGGCACAAGGAGGGGTTGAAAGGGTATATAAAGGAGGAAACTAAAGAGTGCCGGGGAGGATTGGAAGGCTGATCTCAGAGGTACCAGAGAGAAAGAACGGAGGTCTGTCTGAAGAAGTGAGCTGGGGTGTGATGGAACCCTCGGCGTTTCGATATCTGAGGCAGTCTTTTCCTCCCCCCCCCCTTTCCAACACGGCTACGGGATTTTCTGCACCCGGGATTGACCCGCTCTTTCAGTCTTTCTCCAACATTTTGCAATAAATAAATATGAAAAAGCCCCTCTCTAGGTTTGTTTTAAGTTAATATCATTTTGGTCTGAGGTATCTGATATCTGGAGGAAATACCGTGAAGCCCTACAGAAAGGGTCCTACTGCATGATGAATTGTCACTTTCTGCGCTTGGCTTTCATGGCCTCTCTGGCATAGATGGGGGTGTTTTCAGTATGGAAACAAGGCAATGATGGGATCATTTTCTGCTGAAGTACTTCCACGTACTGCTGAGTATATAAATGCTGCCTTCTTGCAGAGATCTATAATGACTTCTCTGTACAGTACCGTAGCTTCCAATAACTGGGGAGAGCTGTACCTGCTAATGATCAAATCACTGCTGAACAATTTATATGCTTGTTTCACAGACAAGTCGTAATTATGCATTTAGTGGTTTATGCTGTAAAGTATTCTGCACTCCAGCACGGAAGCAGGGACCCCCCCCCCCGCCCCCGCGCCTGTATGCATATTTCTGGCTGCCAGGCAGATTTTTGTACCTTTTATAGCACAATGACAGGCAGAAACTTTGCAAGTCATGCTCTTCAGGCTGCCACAGAAGGATAGGCCTGCTGAATTTCTACCTGTTTCACAGTCAGTCAATCTTTATTACAACCTACAGGCCAAAGCTGTTTAGGGAACATTTACTTTCCTAAAGTTTCAGACCATCTCTGAAGGAGGAACCTTTTCTGGGTACAGACTCTGCCTGTATGAGTGGGGTGTGGGTGTGGTCCCTGTGACTGAAGAGCTATTCATTTACTTCTTAGACTCTTTTCTGTACTTCCCTGGTATACATAGCTGCATTGCTTTTTGGAGTACCTCTCATAAGTAATCTTTCTCACCCAAAGCTGTTGATAAATCAATTACTAGGAGGAGGATTACCTTCTTTTGAGCTGACCCATGTCGCTGTGCTTTTAACAGCCATGGGATTGGCAGCCGTTGGCATGTGAAGATATTGCGTTCCGGACCATGAAAAGTTTCACCAGCTAATTCCTGCAAATCAATCTGCGGTTAAAAACAAAAGACCAACTGGCAAACTCCTTGGAAAGTCGCATTCTTTGGTGTGTTGCTGACTAAAATTAGATTGTTAAAACTCATTTGTTGGGCATTAAGGTAATGATTGACATCTTTGCTAATTATTTATACTGGTTAGCTTACATTTCCTTGTTCTCTGTATCAGAGTGTCATTTTCCTGATCATTGTTTAGCCAAAGGCAGTAACAAAGTGATGACTGACTTGGTAAAAGATATTTTTTTAACTTATCAGTAGAGGTAATTTCCAGAGGATTATATGAGTGTGAGAACCAGGGGTCATTTCGTAGAAAAAGAGGTGCAGGAGCTCATTAGCATAACATATTAGCACAACTTATTTGCATATGCCACACCCCCTGACATCACCGGAAGTGTGTCAGAAGGCAACACCCACTGCTCAGGCTCCACTGGACTGTTTTGGATTGCTAGTTATTGGGGGGGGGGACATGCAGATCTGTCCTCGCAGAGGAGGGAGAGCTTGTACCTGAATAAAACTTGGTCTTAAAGGTGCCACTGGACTGTTTTGGACCAGGGGGCCGGGGGGAGCTCTGCAACTTACCTGGCTGCTTCTTGCTCTGACTGAGGGCTACTGGGAGCAGGGGGTGGGGCTTGTATCAATGTGCCCACCCCCTGGGCTCTTTACTGCCAGAGCTCCGCTCCTGTGCGCTCCTGCAGGAAATGACCCCTGGTGAGAACACTCTCCTTATCTAGAACAGCCTTCTCCTGCCGTAGTCCACAACCATTTGTGAACCTTTTTCTTTTTTCTTTTAGTAAAGTTCTCTGATGGGTTTGCCCTGCTCCCCTGAATCAGAGCAGAATACAGAAGCTGTGTTCAATCCCAGAGTTTGTTTTCAATCTCAGGGCTCAGCCCTGGAACATGTGCAGCATGAAGGGAGTATCTGAGAGGTTGGAGCACTTTCAGGCTACCACTAGGTCACCACAGTGATCATACAAATCTGTATCTATGACGGGCTCCTATGTTCAGAGGGCATAATTTACAGGCCGGCTTGAGCCCCAGCATCCTGGCAGTTCAGAAATTAAAACCTTGTAGACTAAAGCTGTCTTATCTTGTGTCAGGGAAATGAGAGCCTGCATTTCCTGGGGAGGAAGAGCGGAAGGAGAGAGAACACGGAGTCTAGGACTTGCCATATGGTGATCAATCATTTAGCCATGTATCTCAGCCAGAAGGACTGTCTGCCCACTAGGCCACATGAAACAAGCTTCTGTGCCAATAATGAGAAATGTTTAGGTTACCCAGCAGAGATGTTCCTTGATAGTGGGGTGGCACACTGACTCCATATTCGTTTTTTGGCTTCTTTGCCAGAAGGAGAAATCTGAAAAAAGGTCAGAAAGCCAACAGACGGTAAAACGGGCAATATCGAACAGTGATGGTCACCGTCACACTTTCTTCTGTCTTCTTTGACTCTGAGTATTTCCACGCTAGCTTTGTTCTCCGGCATCAGCGCTCACTCGCTTGTTCCTGAAAGTGCACGTTCTCTCAAAGTGATTTAAAGTGCTGCTTGCAGCCCCTGTGGAGCCGCTTCTGCAACTGTAGCATAAGCTTTTCAGATGTCAAGCGGGGTGGCTCACTTGTCTCAACTGGCTAGGAAGTCTGTGGATGGAGAGATACTTGGTGATGTTTAACACCCGTCTCTCCATTTCCAGGTTGCTACTTGCTTTATTTAAACATATTCAGGCATAATACAGCTATGCTGGGGATTATTAGGAAGGGTATTGAAAGCAGATCAGCCAATATCATAATGCCCCTATATAAATCAATGATGAGACCTCAATTGGAATACTGTGTGCAGTTCTGGTCACCACACCTTAAAAAGGATATTATAGCTTTGGAAAAAGTGCAGAAAAGAAACTCGAATGATAAAAGGGTTGGAACACTTTCCCTATGAGGAAAGGTTAAAGCACTTAGGGCTCTTTAGCCTGGAGAAACGACGGCTGAGGGGTGACATGATTGAGGTTTATAAGTTTATGCATGGGAAAGAGCAGGTAGAGAAAGAGGTCCTTTTCTCCCTTTCTCACAATACAAGAACTCGTGGGCACTCCATGAAATTGCTGAGCGGTCGGGTTAGAACGGATAAAAGGAAGTACTTCTTTACCCAAAGAGTGATTCACACATGGAATTCACTGCCACAGGAGGTGGTGGCAGCTACAAGCATGGACGGCTTCAAAAGGGAATTAGATAAGCATATGGAGAAGAGGTCCATCAGTGGCTATTAGCCACAAGGTATAGATAGGGGCTCTGGGGCAAGTGATGCTCTGTCTTCTTGGTGCTTGGGGGGGCAACAGTGGGAGGGCTTCTAATGTCCTGGCCCCACTGGTGGACCTCCTGATGGCACCTGGTATTTTTGGCCACTGTGTGACAGAGTGCTGGACTAGATGGGCCTTTGGCCTGATCCAACATTGGCGTCTCTTATGTTCTTGTGAGGCAAAGAGGCACTTCTATAGGACAGTGGTTCTGCTCCCCCACATCAAATGCCTAGAGAGA